TACGGCCTTCATTAAATGCTTTAATCTGCGTTCCTCTGTGGTGATCTGTGCTCTGCGCGATACACAAAGATCAACGAATCGATAGGACAAATAGCAGCACATTAGCGCAAGATCGTCGTCCGTATTCCCCGGTAGGGGAAGTGGGACTCCTTCGAAATGCGTGTGGATGTTCAACGCCACTAAGTCCGGTTTGGCAGCCAACTCAGACTAACGCTCATTTATGTGTTTTCGTGCAACAGAAATCTCCTGCGCGTCGTTTTGAACAAGGTTCTTAGCCCAGCCGTTCTAAACTGTCAAATATGGTTCGCTGAGCCAGCTCCGTAATTGTCTTTTAAGGGGTTCCTCTTGGAAACGAGGTTCTTAGTCAAATCTGGCGCCCGTCCCAAACTGACTGGGGAGGGGGCTGGGGTGGCACGGTCACATGCATATATCATAATAACAGTGCAGACTGTTAATGCGGTTTATACGGTCCCGCCTCATTTTCACGTATTCGGAGGCCGAAAACGGGTGAGTAGTTTTTCTGTTTTTGTTTATCCCCCAAGTAGTTCGTCAAAACCCTGGTTTTGAAATCAGTGTGCTGCCATGGGATATCCGGATGACATTGTTCCCATTTTTTAAGGCATAGAGGACAAAGCTTACATATTAGTGGGAAGGTTGACCCGAAATATTCCATCCATCGACATGTACTTCGCACCTTTCATGGTATTTGAACACACTCCTTACCGTCAAATTCTCTTTGGAAGTTGCGCTTCTTCTACTGGTGGAACAGATAAAGTCACCATACTCATGCATAATCCGATTTTTTTTCAGAAGCCGGCTTGAATTCACCACCCCACGCCCAAGAGAAGGAGTATCTTCCCAGCCCCATACTGCCCGCCGTAACCGTGCAACGAAAGACTGTCCTCGCAGCTTCTGCTGCCCCCATCTCAGTTGGTTCTCGCAGTCCGTCGGTTGACACGCGAACCTCTTCAGTTAATCCACAGGTGACTGCACGTGCTCACTTACAACGACAGGCTCGGACAAAATCCAAACCAATCATTGATGAGCCTTCGTGGGCTTTCATGACGCCTGAGAAAAAACCTGCGGCAAGATCTAGACGCCGACGTGCGGTGCATACAAAGGAAAGTGACGAAGATCCTCCATCCAGCCCGAAACAGAGAGTTCAAGCCCATCAAACAGAGGATTTTAAAGTGCCAGCCCCACCTGTCACGCGGACTGTGGAGGTACACATAAACCGCCCGGGACAAGTGGTCTTTCGGGCGGACTCGAAGAACAGTAATCCCACTGGACATCCGTTCACGGGCAAGCCACCCACAGGAGTTAAGACATCCAAGTCACGAAGCAAGAAGAAAGCTCTTGAGTCCTTACCAGTTCCCAGTGAGCAACCAATCAAACCAAAGGTAGGTAACGTTTTCTGCTTCAAGCACTATTCATGGGGTTGCTGAAGATACTTCCACAGCGGTTTGGAGCACCCTGACAGTATCCCAGTCCTCGTACGACCCTGTACGGCAGTGAAGTATCGGTGTTGATCACTGATGTCATGCTGTCAATGATTATTATTATTATTATTATTATTATTATTATTATTATTATTATTATTATTGTTATTATTATTATTACAGTTTGGAGCCCATTCGTACTCGAGGTCTCGACGTCTGCTTACCCTTTAATCCGAGCACTGCATAGTTCACTTCAATCGATTTTTACGGTTTGTGTCGGCGGTTTGGAAACATTTTTCAGCATATTTCATCTGCCTACCTAAGGTGTTTCCTCTCATCTCTTTTTTATCATTCAATTCAGAGTGTTTTCGACTTGTCCGTGAACCAAACCGTCAACACATCGGTCCTTCCAGCCACGCTGGATGAACTCCGGAAAAAGGAACTCTCGAAGAAGCAGGCAGTCGTACATCCCTTGGTCCATATACAACGGTCTCCTGCTGTGTTGAAAACCCTTTCGCTAAACACTGCTCATGTGGAACCGAAGGTTAGAAAAGAGATTGACCTCGCTACGACTCCAGCCGGTGCGGAAAATCTGAACCCGAACTTCCCGGATTCCGAGAAAGTGACCACACGTCGTTTGTCCATTCATTTGAGCCCATTGTGAGTTGAAGGACTTCTGATTGCCATTAATAATAATCCATTACTTGGCTGTCTTACTACAAGAAGAAAGCATGAGGGCTCAGATGCGGCTCAGCTTACCGAAGCCTAGACAGGATCAGCCGGGGTCGGGTTCGAACCGCGGGCCTTCCGGTCCGTAAGCTGGCATCTTGATCACTGAGCTATCTGGAGCACACATGCATTCAATATATTTATCCCGTGAAATTCCAAAACGGAACTGGAGGGCTCAAGTGGCTAGAGCGCGATTTTACTGACCGAAAGGTGTGTGGTTCGAACCCGACCTCTGCACCCCGACTTCTCCTGTCTAGGCTTGGGCAACCTGGCCTTCGTGCTTCCTTCGGATGGCATAACAGATAGGCATCGCAATGGTGCTACAACCGAACTGTTTTACTGGATGCATGGAATTTCTCAAGATATGTTCACGTATAGCGAAGGGGCTCAATATGTGGCCGTTGAGGTCAAGTCAACCTTAGGTCAGCAACTGATGTTGCACCGCGACGGAAAGTCGACCGCACTGTGCAAAAGTGCTCCCCCAATGGGGGGTGGGCACTGCGTGGTGTTATCAAATATCTTTTAAAGGTTGGTTAATTTAGTTCAGTGGATACTCAAGCTTCAACGCGGAATATTTTTCCTTCTCTGCATCAGGAAGAAAACAAGCGGCAAAATCGCAAGCAGTTCGACAAAACCGACAGTACAGAGACCGAGGTATCGACGCCTTTTTCTAGACGAAAACGAAGATGAAGAAGCTGGCGGGCCGACTGCGAACGCGAAAAGACCCACCAGGGTAAGTTGATGGTGTTGTGGTCTTTTATCGATCTCTCCCCAGCGGCGTACGTTAGAAAACCTTAGTCGTAGTTTTCACATTGTTAACTTGATTCCAGTAAAACCACTCCCTGTAGGTCACATCCCGGTGTGAAAATAAAGCATCTTTCAACCGCGACCAATATCTCCTCTTCTGTCTGACTTATTTGGAAATGGTCAAGATGTATAAATCATCTCATGTTATGAAATTTTTCAAAGACAAAACAGCGTGGTGGAATAAGCGGTTGCAGTCCGACGTTCCTGTTGCATCCTTTTTCCAGGGTTTCTACAATCGACTGAATCAAATGCAGCGTCGTTTGGGTCCACTATCATGTCTCCATGTGGTCAGCCGGATGCGACCAGGGTGCGTGTACACGTGATTATGTGTACTTTTGGTAGGATGGGCCTCCGTCTGTTGTTGTGCTGGCTGTAATGCCGCTTATTACCTACTAAAGTAAGTCCAAGCCAGATAGAGAGGATACTGGCGCCATCACTCCGGTTGATGCAGTTCGGTTGTGTGTTGGTCTCTAGGACCCCAGAGCACGTCCGTTCCACGTGTGACTTGATACCTGACTGCAGTATACGGTTGTACCTTCGAAGTGGATTTGATACCTTGACTCAGGTGCGAATGGAATGTAAACCTTGATCGCCCTTCGGAAGAAGAAATAAGGTACGAAGTAGCCGCACTGAAACGTGAGAAGGCACCGGGACCGGACGGTCTGTATCCAGCCCTCTTCAAAGAAGGCGGAAATTCCCTGGTGACCCACTTGACAAAACTTATTGGTACTATGTGGGACGAACAGCGAGTGCCTACAGAATGGGGCATGTCGACAGTGATCCCTATCTTCAAAAAGGGTACACGGACGCTATGCGAAA